AATCTCTGCAAACGCTTTTCAAAAGAAGTTAGTCTGGAAGCTGCACTTTAAACAATACTGCAATCCAACCCCAAAACACTTCAGGAACTCCAGATGAAACAGTTTTCTTCCATATTTTAATTTAGCAACAGTGAAGACAACAACAGTACCAACCACTATTATTGACCGTGGTTGGTTGCACAATCAGCTTGATGTTCAACTGGATTTGGCAGTTTTATCCTCCTGTTGAGTTCTTCACCAGAACCTGGGATAGGCAGATGTTATTTGATGCTCTTAAAGGCATCATCCCAGGATGCAAGCTGTTCCTAGTAAAGCTGCCTTTTGCAATTGACTGACGGTGATACTGTCAATGCCAGTGGCGTTCAAGTGATGCTCCAGATGTTTTGGGATTGCACCCGGGGTGCCTATTGGTACTATCTTTCCTTTTCCTTTGTCACAGTCATTCTATTTCAATTTGCAAGTCTTTATATTTTGTGACTTATTATCATCATCACCATCAACAAATCCTATCTTTTCTTTAACACTGTTTGCTATCTCACGGTCTTCTTAATTTCATCTCCATAATAATCCTAAAAAATAGTCTGAACTGCAAAAAGTCATACACTGAGCCCCGTAATTAATTACAGGTTTTTGACCAAGGTCACCTGCACTATGCTAAGAACAGTTAAAGAGTGTTATGAAACCAGTTCAAATGCAAGTGTAATCCAGCATCCTCAAGTAGATTCTTCTACAATACGAACACAGTTATTTCGAACTGGTAATAACTGTTACCAACTGGTAACTGGTATTTGGAAACATGCTTTTCCGGATCACTAAGTCGTATACAGGTATCTTGATTATTTGTCAATGATATTCCTCAAGAAACCACTTTATCATGTGCAACGTAAAACCCTAACCCTAATTCAAAGAAATGTATAAACAAAGGGGGGAGGGAACACCTCCACAAAATAATTTCTCTATTACTGGATTTAAAAAAGTTTACTTTGCTCAAGGGCACTCATTTATCCTTATAAGGAAAGGACAGGCAACCGAGGTGGCGCAGTGGTTAGAGTGCAGTACTGCAGCTACTTCAGCTGACTGCTAATTCAGCAGGTCAGCGGATCAAATCTCACCGGCTCAGCCTTCCATCCTTCCGAGGTGGGTAAAATGAGGACCCAGATTGTTGGGGGCAATATGCTATTTAGTATACTGTCTTTGGTGTAAGGTGCCCAGAGTCCTCGGAGAGTGGGCGGCATAGAAATATGAATAATAAAATAAATAAATAAACCCCTTCATTCCCATCACCCAATCCCACATTCATTGACATCCCACATTCACATCTGAGTTTCAATCCCCATTCATTAATTTTATTTGCCTAAGAGAAAAAGATGTATAGATTTTTTAAGGGAGTCCTGGGGAACCAATACTTGAAAGACAAACAGGGGACTCTTCATCTCCCCAACAGCCTCAGATTCAGCTAACTAGAATCCTCAGGGATTGGGAAGAAAATCAAGGAAGAAATCTGTTGTATAAAAAGCAGCTATCTTGCACAGATAAAAGCTGTTTAAGTATAAGTACAATGTTGTGATTACTGACTGTGGATATTTAAACCTAATTTGTCATCTTTGGAATCTAAGGCTTCTCTATAAGCTCAGTTCTGGTGTACTTTTGTGCCTAGAAACTTCTTGTTTCTATCTATAAGACTATCTTGTCGGTCAGAACTTTATATTTTCCTTTCTATTGAAGACTAATATGCTCTCTCATTTTTGCAGCTCTGTATTTTATATCCTCTATCACTAAATCTTTGCACACAACTATTAAAAAAATATATTGACATTTTCTCTTTCCCCTTTTCTTCTATAAAGCTTTTTTCCCCTTATTTATATTCTGTGAGGTTGATCTATCTACCTAAACCAGAGGATTGATTTCTATAGCTCCATTCATTATAGCCAGTAAAGTGTAAACTGTGGAAGTTCTCTCTCTCCCCCATGTGGCGATTGAGATAAATGGTGGTAGCAGTAACTAACAAGTCATTTCACCAAAACAGAAGCATGACTGGGATGTGTAGATGCAGAGTGTTTTTCAGAAAAACCAAAGGCTGGAGATTCTAGGCTCAGCCCTGCTGTTATGACCAAATCTGCTTTGCATCTAGTCTAATTCACTATTTCATAAAAGAGTGCAGAGAAGAGCAACGAAGATGATTACGGGACTGGAGGCTAAAACATATGAAGAACGGTTGCAGGAACTGGGTATGTCTAGTTTAATGAAAAGAAGGACTAGGAGAGACATGACAGCAGTGTTCCAATATCTCAGGGGCTGCCACAAAGAAGAGGGAGCAAAGCTATTCTCCAAAGCACCTGAGGGTAGGACAAGAAGCAAAGGGGGGAAACTAAATAAGGAGAGAAGCAACCTAGAACTAAGGAGAGATTTCCTGACAGTTAGAACAATTAATCCATGGAACAACTTGCTTCCAGAAATTGTGAATGCTCCAACACTGGAAGTTTTTAACATGATGTTGGATAACCATTTGTCTGAAGTGGTGTAGGGTTTCCTGCCTGGGCAGGGGGTTCTATTAGAAGACCTCCAAGGTCCCTTCCAACTCTGTTATTATATATTACATATTACATTCATTAGCAAAAAATCTCAGGACATCTCTACAGATATGTCAGCCATAATCGTTGGAATCACTGTAATAATTGTTCAATTTTAAAAAGAAACCATTAAAAAAAACCCATTTACTGGGCTTATAGTTCTGTGCAACAATTCACACAGAAGTCTTAGCCACCATTCATGTAAAGTTTCTGTAACAATAATTTCCTCGCAAGTATTTACAATAACACTCAATCATACCTTTAGTGCTAAAACTAATTATACTCTCCTAATGCTAAATTTACAAAAATCTAAAGATCAATCATAATAAAATGTTCAAGATCAGATCTATGCCATAAAATGTATGAAAGTATAAACATATTGTATAACCTATTCTGGTAGGTATAATCAAAGTTGCTAGCTTTATAAAAAGCCAGAGTTTTGGAATATACATCTTCCTCGATTGTGTGCAATATGTGGTGTATATGTAGTCCTCAATTTACAACCACAATTGAGCCCAAAATTTATATTGTTAAGTGAGAAATTCATTAACTGAGTTTTGCCCATTTTACAAGTTTTCTTGCCACAATTGTTAAACGATTTACTGAAGTTGTTATTTAGTAATATGGTTGTTAAGTGAATCTGGTTTCCCTATTGACTTTGCTTGTCAGGAGGTCACAAAAAGGGATCTCAGGACACTACAACCGTCATAAATGTGAGTCCCCCAATTATAAATAAATTTCCCCACTGGAATATAAAGTATAAATTAGCATTTCTGTTGAAGGCTGACTCTCCTCCCATGGTAAGGGCTATCACTCGCTATCTTAAAAGGATGACAGCAATACGAGCCAGTTATATCGAAAAGAATTTCATTGATTGTAAGAAAGATGAGCTGAGTTAGAGAGGAGCTATCTTATTTGGGTTATCTAGTCTTGGCAATTTAGCTATTGAAATCTGATATTGTAAAATTTTAATGTCATATATCATATATTTTTAGATTGTTATTTCTGTACCTGTTTTGCCTTTTCCCTTTTTCTTTTCTGTTTTGTTTGAAAAGGCCTTCGGGCTATTCAATAAACAATACAATACAATACCATAAATGTGAGTCAGTTGTCAAGCATCCAAATGTAAATCACATGAGCATGGGGATGCTGCAACAGTCATAAGTGACTTTTTTCAGTGCCATTGTAACTTTGAACAGTCACTAAATGAACTGTTGTAAGTTGAGGACTACCTATATTTCTAAAGCATTGAATCTCAAATTACTATTTTTTTCAATTTAATAAAATTTAAAACATATTGCTCAAAGCCCATGAGTTGGAACACTAAACCAAAAGTCAGTATATTTTATTGTTGATGAAAAACATGTGAAACACGTCATTATGAATGTCACGCCTTCTGCACTCAAATATTTTAAACTGGATCTTCTTCCATTTAATCTTATTAGTCTTGAAGGGTGGGCAGAATCAGAACTGGAAGGGGGCAATGTAATTCAGAATACACATGCAGGGTACACATGCAGTCCTGTCAGAAGCATTTTAAACCAAAGTTGCCTTTTCCCAAGATTATGCCATTGTTCTAAAAATGGCTGAGTCTTGAAGAACTGCTGTTAAATGTTCTTGAGAAGCTCTTCATGCATGCCCACATAGACTTCAAATTTATTTTCTGTTTTAAATTTGGATTTCTTGGAGGTCTGTTACCTATATTTTTGCAGTTTTTTTTCTCCAACTGAAGTGACTAAATTATTAACTCTTTCCATAATTTCACATAATCAATAAAACAGAAATAAAATAGGACTCTTTCCGCCTTGATATACAATATCATTAATGTAAGCACTTCTCCAGGTTCTAAATTTACTTCAGAGATGTTCCTTCAAATTTATTCACTGCTAGGAAGAAAAAATTATAACTGATGGAAGTCCCATTTTATGGAATATCTCTTTGTGCCTAGATAAGAGATACATCAATAATGGTGTCTTTCCAATAAGAAATGCATTATTCTCTAAGTGACTAATTCCTTGAGTGCCAAAATCAAATAATAAGTATTTGATTTTTTTTTCAAGCAGTGTTACTTCTTTGTTAGATTTACAGTCTGTCATTCAGAAGTTCAGCAAGGAATAGGTAGCATTCCCCCTTTCCAGTTTTTTCAACTACCAGTGAAGTAGGTTAGGTACAGAGAGGGTGATCGGCCCAAACTCACCCAGTGAGAGTGTGAGGCTGAGAACAGATTACAAATTAGGTCTTCCCATTTCTAGACCAATGGTTTCATCACCATATCACCTTGGCTCTTTTACCATTCGCAGTAGTTTTATTTTGTTTTTTTGTTACAACCCAGTTAAGAATTATTCTTAACCCAGTTAAGAATAGAGAAGAAAGTAACAGAAGTTGAAAACAAACATAGTTATTTGTTTAATAAAAAAATGAACATTTTACCTTGGACAACAACCTGACTCCCAGGTACGAAGAACTGTTGAGTGCCATCAGGTGTTTGAGCTGCATATTGTACAATCGTAGCACCAGGTTGAGGAGCTCCTGAATTTGTCATAGTTAATGTTTGTAATCCTTGAACACCATCAGATGTTGGATTAGAAATTTGGATGGTTCCACCTTGGGCTATAGCAACTTAATCAAAAATAAATACTATGTAAGACATCAGCAGTAGAGATGACAACACTTTAATTTAGTTGCTCCCAAAGAGTGTTTAAGGGCAGGATGACATGAATGACCAATATCCAGTATGGAACTGTATACACACACCCCAATCTATAAAACTGACTCAGAATGCCTATTACTTGGGACAACAGAGCTCTGACTGTTTCACAACTTTTTGCAATTTTTATTTTAAATAAATCGAGCACCGAATAGTAATTTTGAAAATCAGTTAATAGGAACTAGAGAAAGTTGTTTTTCCATATATATAGCAGCAATACTCACTGGCAGGAGAGAGGAAAGACTCACTTTTCATATTGCTCTATAACAGGGGTGTTAAACTTGATTTCATTGAGGGCGGCATCAGGATTGTGTTTGACTTCGGGGGGGGGGCAGAGTGGGCGATCCTGGGTGGGAGTGACCAGCTCGATGTCACTCATGTCAGGGGCACCTGTTGTGACCCCAGTGCTCTGCCAGAGAAAATGGGCTCCCAAGCTCCATTTTCGGCTGTGATGGCCTCCTGCAACCCTCTGCCAGTGAAAACAGAGCTCGGGAGGGCTGCATGCATTTTCCCTGGCAGAGGCACCACGGGCCAGTCCTTCACTGTTTCCAGAGCAGTCCCGCGGGCCAGATCTAAGCACCCCGCAGGCCGGATCCGGCCCCCAGACCTTGAGTTTGACATCCCTGCTCTATAAGATCCTCCTGATATTTAAAGCAAATATTCTGTGGGAGGCCAGTTTCCCTCTCTTCCACCCTACCTATGTTTTTGTTTTAACTCACTGTTTATTAACATACACTACGTGTTTAAAACTACGTAGCAGCTACTTTTTTTTTCTTATGCAAAGTTGTACAGGTAGTCCTCACCTTGCGAACATTTGCTTAATGGCCATTCAAGTTATGGCAGCATGGGAAAAAAGTGACTTACAACTGGTCTCCACAATTAAATTTGAATGATTTGCAACCAGCATGTATTTACAACAGTTGCAGGGTCCCAAGGTCATTTAATCACCATCTGCAACTTTCCCAACCAGCTTCCAACAAGCTAATTGGAAGCTGTGGCAAGGTTCACTTAATGACCATGTGATTCGCTTAACAACTGCAATGATTTGTTTAACGACTGGAGAAAAAAAAGGTTGTAAAACCAGGTGTGATTCACTTAATAACCCTTAAGGATCGAAGTTCAGTCCCAATTGTGGTCATAGGTTGAGGAATACCTTGTAACAAACATGATATTATGATAGGAAATGCTGAGTTTCTGATTATAAAGGGACACTCTATAGACACTCACAGAAAGAACTGACAGTCAAAACATGCTGTTAAAACTAGGTAAGTTTTTCCAAATACACATTTAATTGCATAATTATTATATCCTAGATAGTTCAGCAGTAGGCAAACTCTTGGCAACTTTTAAGATGTGTGGATTTCTACTCCCAGAATTCCCCAGCCAGTTTGAATTCTGCAAGTTGAAGTTGATACCTCTTAAAAGTTGCTACATTTGAAAACCATGGGTCTATAGCCTATTTGGGATTAGATTTTAATCACAAATAAAAGGCTGTCAAAATGTGTCTTTATGAGAAATAACTACACAGATATGTCTTATGTTCCATAGTCTCTGACCAAAGGTTCTAAAACTAAGTGCATGAAGGAACATCAGTAAAAAGATGAAAAAAAAACCCCATAGAAATACTGTATATCAAGGACATTTCTATTTAAGTCATAACCTATCTACATGATTATTAAAATAAATCATAACAAGGAAAGCTGCATCCAGGTTTCATGGCTTATAACAACCATGTTTTTATTTTTATTTTCCTATCAACTGTCACTTAATTTTACTGCTTTTCAAAATTGCAACTTTCCTTTTAAAAACAATAGATTATTAAACAGGTAGCCTAATATTACAGAAGACCTACTGTACTGCCCGGTGCTAGTCTGATAAAGGCTGGTTGGCACGGCCATGGCAGGGATTCCAGAGGGTGCTCCTTCTTCCTCTGGTTTTCCTTCTTCAATCTTAGCAACGCCAGGTGCATCAGAAGAAAGCTCATTCAGAATTTTTCTGCCACAAATGAATATTTAAAGAAATATTTTTAAGGATGCTGACCTGTGCCGTGAAAGAGTGAAATAGCGTAAATAAACATAAAAACTTTTGTATTAGAGCAGAGCTTACCGATATGAAGGCCTCCTTGAAAGTATCTCTCTCCGCTTCTGAGAATCAATTACCACCTCGGATTCTGTAGATTCATCTGCATTTGTAGCTGGAGCTACCTAATTTTTTTTAAAACAAAAATTTAATAAGCTGCAATTCTAGAAAGTTTGTTGCCTGAAACTCTGTGCAATAGTCAGCCATTTTCACTGTATTGAATCCTGATTTCTATTGTAAGATCTAATGTTAATAATCTATCACATGGAATTTTATTCACTTGTTCCATTTCCATCCCACTGTAATACAAACAACTTTTGATTGGTATAACACCGTTTTGCAAATTTAACAGACAATTATAAAGTACACATAGATGCAGTAGTTTTGAAGAACATATTCAAGAACTGATTGTATGCTTGATGAGAGAGAGAGACAGAGAGATAGAGATAGAGAGAGGATGAAGGGCAGAAATGGCAGAAATGGCAATGACAACCAAGTTTCATGGAATGAGGGGGGAAAGGAAAAAAAGGGAACCAGTAGAAAAGATTGAATAGAGTGGAAGAGGAAAGGAAAAGGAAGAGAGAGGGAGATAAAGCATAGTCAACAATCCCAGAAAAGTTTTAGAAGTTAAATTTTGAAGTAGATGAATAAATAGGCCTGATTAATGCATCATGAGTGTGCACGCACACAAACACACAAACATACACACACCCCAGTTTGGTTTTGACTCAGGGCTGAAAACAAACCAATCCCATGAAAGAAACTATTGTTATCAATTGTACTAACAATGGCACAATTCACAATAACAAAACCAATGAGTAATCCACATTTTGACTTACTATGTCAAACCTGACTATAAGACATCTAACCAAGACAGCAGGGTTATTAATGGCTAGGCATGAAAGAGGATTACAAAAGAAGTTACAAGTTCAAGATTATATTAATTCCAGAATCCACTGGTAATTGCCAGAGAGTTTTTAAAGATGAGAAATTAAAAGAACACACAGGCTAGCAAATTACAGGCAGTCCTCGACCAGTGATTGTAATGGAGGCTGCCCCATTATGGCGGAAAGTTTTGACAGCCGTTAAATTAAGCGCCCATGTGATAACCTCACCTAATGACCACCCTCCTCCCATGCAGCAGCCGAGCAGCAGATTTGCAGGCGGCAGGCTTAGGGGCAGTGAAAGTAAGCAGCAGGCTTCAGTGCAATAAAGGCAAGCACACCCAACTCAGCTTGCTAAGCGGCAAGTTTGCAAGTGCTGAGAAGAGCAAATTGCTCCATCCCTAGGCCACATTCCTCTGTTCCAGAAGGGAGCATCATAATTCACTGTGGCCAGTGACCACTCTGAAAATGGCAGTTACTTCAGGAACGTAGGCATGCTGCCTAAAGACACAGAAGGGCAGAGCAGCTACTTCCCCAACCTGAGCTCCAGAACTTCCAAAAGCAGATCTATAGTAAAAGATAAGTGATTGGTGGCAGGAATGGGAAAGAGCATGTGGGATGTAGGCCCAAGGCATGTGGGGACTCCAAGGGATAGGATTTGGGAGAGGGGGGGAGGGGGTTTTGCAACAGGTGGGGCGGAGCTCTTCAGCATCCCTGTGATTGGTCTTAGGGGCCAAAGACCACAGGGGTGCTGCAGTGACTGTAATTTCAAAACCAGATCCTAAGTAGCTTTTCTGGAGTTGATCATTGGTAAGTCAAGGACTACCTGTATAGGACAAGAACAATTTTAGTTGAAACGTTGCTTTTCCTTATCGTTCTCTTCTCTCTACAGATTCCTGTCCATCTTCCTATCCTCCAAATATTTTCTTCTCATTTTTGCAATTCTCATCCCACACGTTCTATTTATATCATAGCCTCTAATGCCAGCATTCATAATTTAACTGTGATTTAATATTAGCAATAGTAGCAATCCCTGGCTACATTGAAGAACTGTGAGATTTTGGGAAACATTTGCCCAATTTTTTTTGTCGTAAGTCAAGGACTAATGGTAGACAAGTGAGCGAGGGATACTATGAAGTGATAAAATGTTGACATCAAAAGTGCTTACTACAGTGTTTTACTAACTGTCCTTCAGGTGCTGAATACCTGTCCAGAACCAAAAGAACTAAAATATGTTTTATAAAGAAAGCAAAACTGAATGCTTTTTCACAATCTCATCAATATCTACATGAATACATTATTTTCCATAGTTTGTTCAATTAGATATGGATTACTTAAAATATTAATAAAATTCTGTCCATTTAGGGAAAAAAAGATGGAAAAGGAGCTATCTAACATACTCTTCTGATTTGCAGTTATCATATTTTTAAAAAGGAACCTGAAGCATGATATCAATTAGGAGGCTTGCAAAATGCTTTGAGTAGCACCATTCTAAATTCAAAACATATTTTATATACTGTTTCGAAGCAGATGCTTGAAACCTGTAATTGGCATGTTTTGAGTTCAAAGCACTTATCTGAGCTAGAAACAAAAGTTTAGGGTCAAAGCATCCACTAGTATTATGTTGGCAACTAGAGAAATAAGTACACTTATCCCCTGGCATTAAATATAGAATCTTCTGTTCGCTCTTGTGTTGGCACAAAAATAAATAGTCCACGAAACCAAAGAAAAGTTAATAAAGGAGACACAACTAACCTGAACAGATTGCAACTGTGGTGACTGAATTACCGAAGATTGTGTGGCTTGAATCACTCCCTGTACGTGGACAGTTTGGCCAGAAGGGAACTGCACTACAGTTATAGAGGGAGATCCTCTTCCAGTTGTTGATCCTGCTACAGAAACCTATTGAAGTAAATAAAGCCTACCATGAAAACAGCTTAAGTAGCTAGCTCTCAGTGTTCATTATCTGACAAAGTAATCCTTAGGCTTCAGTTGGGTTTCACCTTTAACACAGAACAGGCTCTTTTATAATACAAATATATATTTTGGCTTATATCGAAAAGCAGGTGAAATATCATTTGGGTAGTACTTCTGCTTTCCTATTATGAGCATTATAATGCCTATGTCATTAAGCATTATTATCAGAGATATTATTATAATTAAAAAAATAACCTCTTTCCTTCAATCAAAAGAAAATGCAGTCTCATATAAGATGTGATGGGGTAGAATTTTGCCCAAGATACAACTGTTTTCGTAACACAGCTATATTGTATCTTTCTACAAATTTACTAGTGTTATTCTTCTGCACTGAAACATTGCAAGATCATATGTCAATTTTAACAAACAGAAGGCTGAGAACTAACAACTTGCCAAAAAAGCCATGAGCTTCTCAGTTTAATTCCACTTTGAAGTAGGGATTTACTATGCTATTTTAATATTTATTAATATTAATAATGTATTATGATTGTCTTAGTAATACTTTAGGGTTGCATGACAATAATTGCATCTGAATATTGTCAAAGCATATGAAACAGTTGACAGCTCAATACGTCAGTAGCTCCTATTTCAATATACTTGATAGCAGCACATAAGAATGCCCGTTTCTTGTAATTTAATATGTCATCATGTTTAACAGTTTAGAACCTGTCTCTAAACATATACTTTTACTCCCTCCTTCCTCTTTCATTTAGATTTAAAACATATATTTTGAGGCTCCTGGAACTAAAATAAATCTGTGTCCAAAGAACACTGATTGGAAATTATTTTCTGATCCTTTAATATTTAAAGGCCAAAATATCTTTGGCTCTAACTACATTGCTGTTTTAAAAACTGTGCCAAACTACATGTTCACTGACACTTCATTTCAGGGAAAAATGAAATATTTTAACAAATGAAAAAGAAGCATGTATGCAGGAGCTGACTCTTAAACACGACATGAGTAAAGAATGGCATGAGCTGAATTGGAAGATGATTTATCCCCATAAGGAAGGATTTCTGTAAGTAGGGTGTCATAACTAAGAAGACTCCTGTCTTTGTAGGCAACTGCTTTACTACAAAGAGCCTCTAAAGGTGGCCTCATGCCAGGTTAATTATATGTCCATCCCAGAACAACATGCAGTTCAACCACAGGTTTGAGTGGCCCTTTGGCATTTTCAAAGTCAATACACTTGCTCTTCCCCTGGAAAACATGCTACCAAGCATGTCTAATACCTCAGAGTCTCAACATCGCTTCCAGCTCTTATGCTGCTACCCTTTTGCCAGCCACCAAACAGCTAATTTGTGCCCCAAGTATTCCTTTGCATCTTAGGAAGAGTTTTAATTTATCACTATGGTCCTTTCTCACCTAAGTTATGGAGACCAGTCTTATTCCCAGGCTGTTTAAGGCTTTATAAGATTCTTTATGTTGATAAGAATTTCTGCTTTTAAAAATTGTACTATTGGATTAATACTATTGGATTCAGTAAATATCCATTTTTTATACTGAGCAAAATTGACTTATCAAAATGTTACTCAAAACCTAGAGTAAGTCCAGGGAGGTTTTTCTCAATACTATCTGGAACGAGCTCCCCCTGGAGATACGGAGGATCCCGGATCTGCGTACCTTCCGTCGCGCGCTCAAGACTTTCCTATTTCATCAAGCCGGCCTGACCTAAGTCTTTCCCCTTTTTAAATGGAAATTTTAAATCTGGTTTTAAATTATTGGGGTTTTAAATTTGTTCAGCCAAATTATTTAATTCGTTTTAATCTATTTTAAATTTTGTATTTATATGTTTTATTCTATGGCTGTTCACCGCCCTGAGTCCTTCGGAAGTAGGGGGGTATACAAATTCAATAAATAAATAAAAATACCAACATCGCAATAATTTCATTTTACTCTTCATATTATCAATTGAATAATAGTGTTAAAAAATAAACAGAATGTTTCATATTACTTGAGCTATAGTGGAGATCTGATTTTGGCCGATAGGAGATTGCATGTTGGCAGAATCACTTTCTGTAACAGAGTCTGTTGCATTGCCATCTTGTGGTTCAACTGTTTCCATGGTCATTTGTCTAAAGACAAGGGAGGGGAAAAAAACAGGTTAAGATATGAAATATTCAATAACTCTTATACTTCTGCTCATTTGTTTATTTCAAATTTTGTTACATAAAATATACCACAATAACTCTGTAACTTATAAATGTGCATGAATAAGAGAGCCAATTATTTCCATGGATGTGTCCAATGTATTCTATCTAGCTAACTTGCCTCAATATATTACGTTGAACAATAGCCATAGTTTTAATAAGCACTGAACATGAAAGCTGTGGATTATGGGAGTCTCGATCAAGCATTTGGACAGAGAAGTATGTGACTTGCATCTATCACATCTGGAGGTTAAAGAAAGGTGACTTAAACTTTGCAGAAAACTGAGACCTTATTTTTCTTCCCCAGAAGGAACATCCTCCAGGCGCAATCTTATAATTGAGGCAGAGATATATTTTTAGAGATACAGCACAGCACAATTTCATCACGTTTTGTTTGTTCATTTTAGTTTATGCAATAATTGTTTTGTCTTTTGCTAAGCAAGTAAGTCCCGTCTTTTGCCAAGTATTAAAAATTTATTGCAAATGTCATAATGCACTTTAGACACTTCTTTTAAAAAGTTGGTATAATTACAAAATTGGTCTGAAATACTGTAGATATGAATTAGTTGCATGTAGATATTGCTGCCTGTGAGACCCTATTATTGCTTTTTTGTTGTATTCATTGTATCAATGGTTATTTAGAAGCCAATACAAACTTTGGCAGCAAACATTTATTTCTGGGAGAGCAGAGTTTATAGAGGGAGCATCAACGAATATACAAGGCTTGGCTGAGAATAACTTATCACTACAACGTATTTTCAAATTTAAGAGATGTAGAACCATTTCATGGAATCAGGTAGAACTATGAACAAGGAGGTTTTGGCTGTTTGACCATATCCATTTGAAATTCTTATTTTTATTTACATTCTATGTTTGGTTTATACTCCTGGCATGTTATATATTACTTTCAAAGGCTATAGGAAAATTTCAATTTCAAATTATAGAAAATAGCTAATTAGGGTCCATAATGATAAAAATCACTGCAGAATGCTATAGTTAAGACACCAACTAAAGAATATTCGGATAGTTAATATAGCGCTTTCAGCCAAAAATAGGTATCATTTCATTCACAAAAAAATTGTTGTGATTCCTGGAATAGTACATACACACAAACCACTCAAATGAAAGGTATTCACTTTAGCTTCTGCAATATTGTTTTAAATTGTACTCTAAATCATTCCCATTTCTCATAGTGGTCTTCATTGTAGTTTCTCTCCCATATTAGAACTTCATTTGGGTTACATCTTTGTTAACAACTGTTCATAGTATTTCATCCCCCCGTTTTGTTTTTTTAATATGGTTGAAGCTTACCTCCACATGTTACAAGTCAAATGTAGCATCTAACGCAGCCAAACTCCAGATGTGCTGGTCTTTTGACTCCCATAATTCCCAGTCAGCATAGTCAATTACTAAATTGGCTGTGGAGTTGTAGGAATTGACAACTTAAAGACATAAGATTGTCCGTAGTTTTACTGCTGCTTAAATTCATGTGTTCATGCATTCCTATTTCTCAAAATCTCAATCACTCCGTATTTTCAATCTATTAAAAAGTTTCATTTGCTTACTTGATACAAATTAAGTAATTACAAATTACTTAATACAATATGTGAGGCTCAATTTTATATATGAAAAAATGCTTGATATATTATGGAATCCATTTCACTCCTACAATTCTACTTTAAAAATAGACATGGTTTTTTGTGTGTGTAAGGCCTATGTACTGAGATGCATTCCATTAGAATGGTAGAGTTGATCTCTTCTTGGTAACTTGTAGAGCTAGATAAGTGTATTCTGAATATACAAATCCATGCTGTTGTAATTTATTCAGCATCTCCCAGAAAAAGATCCGAACTCCCAAGTAAAAGATTAAAAATTACTGCTTAAGTCCGAACATAATGTATTGCTGAAACTAAGCCAAATTTAAAACACTTGAGTTAACACATATACCCACATTCTCACACACTTGCTCTAAATGAGATTGGTAACAAATGCTTGGCTGCATTCCCTTTATCGAAACTTACTGTAATACAGGACACAAGCCTGCTATGCAGAAGCATCTTCTAGCGATAGCTAAAAATATAATGGCTACCTTATATTAATTCTGGCATGCTGTTTTTTGCTACATTTGCTCATGATTGAATTTTTTTTTTTAAGGACTTCTTCCTTCTCCAGACCACGCTCTTCTAGTGAATCTTGCAATGAAGTTATGTTCTGTTTGTGATGTCATAACTATTGCTATGGCAACCTACATTCACAATATTACATAGTATTTAGGGTTCGCTGTAGAAAGGAAAAGGAATAAAGGAGAACCGTTTTAGTGCTAATGCAGGAGATTTTGGAAGTGTTACAGAGAACCCTTTGAAAGGAGAAGAAAAATATTAAAAGAAAATTTTTTAAAAAGATACTTTTATGAAAACATTAGCTAAAGCACTTTTTGGGAAATGCTTGCAACTCAGCAATTTCAGTGGAGTTTGACCACTTTTGGCATATTTGGTAAATATTGCATGCTCAATTTGCCCAGGTGAGAAAGCACATGCAGAGTTAATACAGATACATAAAGTGACCTGTGGAATATCAGTGAAGTCCAATGCTGATCTTAGATTCCAACATGCCCATGCAAAGGTTAGAAGTATTTTAACTTAAAGAGGATGCTTAAACTTAGAATTAATTTTTATTTTTAAAAATATACAGTTCCTCAATTGAGAAGGGAAAATGTTGCCAATAGAAATCTACATACAACTTTATCTTTTATAGAAAGGATTGTCATGCCTGAAAATAGAATGGGATCATTTATGATTCAACGAACTTGCTAAATTATGCATGGATACTATTGCTAGTAAATAAACAAGTATGTTTACAATTTAATCATACTCCAAAAAAAAAAAAAGTTTTATTACTTTTGAGTGACACCTTCTTTGGAATAGCATCCCAGTCGACATCCGCTTGGCTCCCACATTTCCTTCTGGAAGCTGCTCAAAACACCATCTTGGTTGGGTTTGGTTAATTTAACTTTATTCTGTTTTGGTTAGTCTGTGGATCCTTTATGTATTTTTGGCTTTATGTTGTTTATGTTTCTTACTTGTAAACCCCCCCCCCCACTTGCAACTAATAGTAATTACTAAATAGGTGGGTCAGTTGCAAGCATACATCCTGCATCAAAGTATTTTTGCCTGCCAGTTTCAGCCAAAGAAACCATTCTCCAATTTTTCTATTAATTTAAAAAGACCTTTTCCACGAAGAACTTCTAGATTTATAAATAACTAGCTGTACCCGGTCACGCGTTGCTGTGGCTCAGTCTTGTGGATATACAATATTTTTTGATCGAGTGCCAATAATTTCCCTCTGTAGCTGAGGTCACGCCTACTTTGCCTCTGTCCCACCAGTCTTTTCACTCGGTCGATTGGATTCAGACCTGAGTTGCCTTTCTCTACGTTTCTTTTTGGACTTTAACGTCGCTTAATCAATTGCTTTCTTGGACTTTTACCTATTTGGTACTTGTATTGGGAGAGCTGTGCAGCCCTCCGGCCGGGCTGGCGTCGGTGAGTTTGCTTTCCTGGGGCTCCGGGATGGTGGCTGCCAACAAATATTTTGAATCCAGCAGCCATCCGGAGGCGTCTTCGGACGCCTCTGAGGATACTTTGCCGCGGGTGTAAGAGCTGGTTTCCCGGCTTGGCGGTATAACTGCCTTCACCTTCACAGCTCTCCACACCACAGGTGGCATTGGGGTCCCTGCCAAAGGTACGGCATACTCCGTTAATCGGGAGGACGCTTGTGGGTTTGGTAGCAGCGGCACTGAGGGGAAAAGACCCGGCTCGCGCCTGTCATTGTGGTGCTGCGACGTTAAAGTCCAAAAAGAAGCGTAGAGAAAGGCAACTGAGGTCTGAATCCAATCGACTGAGCGAAAAGACTGGTGGGCTCTGCGTATAGCGTCTGTTGCATTTACATCCAACAGATGGCAGTTTTTCAAAAAAGCATGTTTTTACCTGTCACAGGTGTGACATCTATATAATATAGGTATATAAAAACATGCGCATATTCGAATACAACGTTATGTCAAAATTTCAAAGCAATCAGTGAAGAACTTTCGGAGATTTAAGATTTTGAACAAATGAACATTTACATTTTTATTTATATAGATGATTATTTTCATAGAATCCTACTTCGTATCTTGAGATCACACACCTTTCTTCTCCCAGGGACACTATTCTATTTCAGGCCAGGAAGTCTTAAAACTATGCAGCTGTGCCTTTTTTTTCTACTGTAATGGGTACTTAAATTTGCATTCAAAAACTCCAATAAAAAAGCTGACAAACAAGCTACTTCTCCCATTTTAGGAGCTTAATTTTACTGAACATGGTATTCTATCATTTGCTAAAGGGTCAAAGATGCAGGAGGTGAGAAGAGAGCATGTTGATAAGCACAATATAAAAGCAAATATTGAAATATACCGTAGTTCTGAAAAAGGAAATTTTTAATCACCTTGACTAAAACTCAAAATGATTACAAACAGGTTTCTAAATGGGCATAAGCCTTCAAAATGTAGTCTGCAATGACATTAGGTGGCTCAACATGTGTGCGTATGATACCTATAATTGATTCTTGCTTTGTTGAACTATCACCCTTTTTTTAACAGGGAAACCCTTCTCAATTATTTCAAAATCTGCACAGAAGGTATTTGCTCTTTTTACAACTTCCTTCCTCCAGCTTTACTTTTTGCCTGTGTTCCTTGATATCTCCTTCCGCTTATATAAGAAACATTCATACAGAATTGCAAAGAAACCAAATTTTCATATTATTGACAAAAAGTTGAATACATTAAAACTATGGTTTGTAGCATTAATAAGTGCACTGGGTTGTATCACATCATTTCTTAAAAATAAATCTAAAATAATTTGCGCAAAACAGTGCTATTTTATTAAATTAAC